TAGGGGAAAAACTCGCATCTTGTGTCAGAAGTGTTGTGAGTGTGGTCGTAGTGTGTGACTAGAGGGGACACAGTACTGTTCCTGGACACCCTCATGGGGTGACTAGACCACAAAGAGAAAGGCTGAGGGAGGGCTCAGCAGAGGCACCTCCTCCCCTTCCTCCCCCACCCGTGTCCCCGCCCACGTGCAGATGGGCGCATGGGCCGTGCTGCTCGGACCACGTTGCGTCTTCGCTGCAAGGCTTCTGTCCCCTGTGATGCGTCCCTCCCCCAAGACAGCCTGTCTTACCCAGGCCTTCTGAGAGTGCAGTTGGCTGGGCTTTCTTGTGAAGCTGTGACATTTAGTAAAGCACTGCCTTTTGTTTGCTTTCCCTCCTTCCCTTCCTCACTACCTTCACTTTTGCTACTTTGGGGTTTTACCTCCCAGAAAAAGCATTTGAAGCCAAATTTTGCCTTGGGTTCTTTTCCAGGAAACCTGACAATCACTGCAGTCGCCTTTTTACTGGTCTCCTTGCTTCTGCTCTATCACCTCTAGTTTATTTTTAACACAGTGGTCAGCGTGATCCTTCAGAAATATGTCAAAGAGGGCTTCCCTGGTGGCGCAGTGGTTGAGAGTCCGCCTGCCGATGCAAAAAAAAAGATGTCACAGAAGTCACTCCTCTGATTAAAACTTCTGAGAGGTGTCTCATTTCACTCAGTAAAAGCCAGAGTCCTTAACCCACAGCCCTCCCTGATCTGGAGCCAGCTCCGTTCTCTTCGCCCGCATCCCCTGCACCTCTCCCCGCTCACTCCATTCCAGGCTTGCCCGCCAGCTGAGTCCGTCTGAGCAGCTCTAACAGAGTACCAGAGACTGGGTGGTTCATAAACAACGGAAATTAATTTCTGTTCAGTTCTGAAGGCTGGGAAGTTCAAGATCTTGGTGGCAGCATGGTTGAATTCTGGTGAGGGCCCTCTTCCAGGTTGCAGAGTGCCGCCTTCTCATCATGTCCTCACTTGGCGGGGAGCAGAGGGGAAGCAAGCTCTCTCATGACTTTTTAAGGGCACTAATCCTGTTCATGAGGGCTCCACCCTCATTCACCTACTCCTAATTCTAATGACCTCCCAAAGGCCCCACCTCCTAATACCATCACATTGGGAGGTAAAGTTTCAACACGTGGATTTTCAGGGAACATAAACATTCAGTCCCTAATACCAGTCTCTTGCCGTTTCTCCTACAATACAAGCATGCTCCCATCTCTGGACCTTTGCAGTATCTCTTCCTTCTGTTCTAGAAAGTTCTCTCATATCTGCCAGACCTGCTCCCTCGTTTTTTTCAAGTTGCTGCTAGTGAGACATTCTCTAACCAACATATATAAAAATTGAACCAGTTCCTTCTCCCACACTGTCTGGCTTAACTCTGTTTAATTTTTTCCCATAGTACTTTTCATTGTTAGGCATATTATATACTTACATACTTATTTATTTGTTGTTTGCCCCCGCACTAGAATATAAGTTCCATAATAGGATAGATTTTGTCTAGAACATCACTTATGTGTATTTGTTGAATGAATGAATAAATGAACAGGGGTCATGTTTGCTATGAAATATGTATAGCTTGAAGTAGACACCATTATACTGTGACAGGCTTAAGCTTAGTTATTAAGTCTGAATCATAAAGGTCTCTCTTTTTTTTTTTTTTTTTTTTGGATGAGCTAAGTCAGCATTTCCCAAAGTTGGTCCATGGGTAGTGTTTTGAGGGATAATAGGTGTTATGCAGGCCACAGAGCAAATGTATATATGTGTGTGTGTATGTTTGTGTGTTGGAGAGTGGCCAAACAAGTAGAATCATGAAAGGTTTTTGTATGCATAATTATATGTGAAATTTTAATAGATAATAGAGATTTTTTCTGTACCACATGATAAAACATTTCTCAAAATAATCACATCTATTGAGAATAAGTTGGTTTTAGCTCAATGTAGAACTTTAATCGTGTGTTAACAATGAGATATGGTGAAAATAATGAAGTTCAAGTGTTTTATTTTTATCCTTTTATTCCTGTCAAGAAATGTTACCTCTTTGTATGCAAAGTTGACAGGAAGAGTATTAAAGGAAAGTTGAAGAGGTTGATTTGTATGACAGCAAATCTATAAGTGATTACAGAATGATCATTATCATAAAGGTGTATGAGTTTAATGTTACATGTAGAATTTGGTATTTGTTTGTGTCTGGAGCCTTCTTAGGATTTCTGTTGGCTTTTTGCTTTGCCCTTGGAAAATTATCAGGAATATTTCTAAAACGTGCTCTTCAGAAATAGTGCCAATCAGCTTTCATCCTGCCTAAAAGCTAAAAAAACCCCAAAAAACCATACATCTCAGTTTTGGAAAATAGGTAGATTGTATGTTGAGATTAAAAAAATACTATAAATACCATTAGTTTACCTGGATCAATAGTTGCTTTTACTTTTATCCACTAGTTATTTTCATTCTGGGACTTTTAATCACCACAAACCTAGCAAAAAACCTTGGACTAAAGTAAAACAACTCTAGGGCTTCCCTGGTGGCGCAGTGGTTGAGAGTCCGCCTGCCGATGCAGGGGACGCGGGTTCGTGCCCCGGTCCAGGAAGATCCCACATGCCGCGGAGTGGCTAGGCCCGTGAGCCATGGCCGCTGAGCCTGCGGGTCCGGAGCCTGTGCTCCGCAACGGGAGAGGCCACAACAGTGTGAGGCCTGCGTACCACAAAAAAAAAAAAAAAAAAAAAAAAGTAAAACAACTCTATTAGAGAGTTAATCATAATAGTTCTTAAGCATCTCTTAGTGATTTTTGTTCAAACTTAATAGCTAATTTAATAATCCCTTTGTACTCAGTTAATGAGACTTAATTTAAGCAACAAATGCCAGAGCCTTTTAATACATACACGACCCTCATAGACTATGGCATGTTCCTTAATTATAGGTGAATTTCGGTCCAGAAAGAATCCATAATTCAAAGGCTTTATAGTTACACAATTCTAGTTAGAAGTACTTAAAACTTTAATAGATCAAATAAGAGATACTAAATAAGTAATTTTACCTTATTTCAATTTTTTTCCTAAAATCCCTGAGATTCAGATGGTAATAAAGTTCCAGAGTAATTTCTTTGTTTCTTCAGAAGGCATTTTATTTATGTGGCCTCATTTTACTTTTGTGGTTATTATTTGCTGAGTTGATTGTTAAAAAAAAAAATGTTTGTTGATTTTTGCTTACTACTGATCATTTATCTCTGCTTTACTCTCCATCCAATGAGATTTCCGTCAGTTAATTTTGAACTGTCAGAATGTTGGTGACCATGCTTGAGGGGAAAAGATGTGAATCTATAATTTTACAGATTTTTTTGTGGGTTGGCATTTCAGTATCTGGCTAGGGAAACATACTTAAAATCCAGAGGTCTGTTTCTAATACGAGATTCTTTTGCATTTCTCCCATGATTGTAACAACAGAGGGCTTGTGATTTCATTATTTAAAATAAAAACAAAACCAAAACCCAAACATATATATATATGCCCTTA